AGCGTCGTTCCAAAATTAACTCAGCGATAGTCGCGATGTTATTATTCCGATTCGTTATTGCGTTATTTTTTTATTGGATAAACTTGCCGCGAAATCGGGACATAGTTACCGAAGCTCTCTGGCCTTGACCGCGACCCAGGGTCTTCATCCTCGGCAGATCGATTTGTTCTCTGAACTTCTAATTCTGTATTCACCTGCATATAGCCGTAATATTGCTACTGCTTAGGCATTGTAATAATTCAGGGTCATCGCGATCGACTTGTTGCGAAATCACGGGCATACCGAGCACGTCACTATGCTTTTCTTTTATTGGAAATTTATCCGAAGGAAACAAACATTCGTCGTAACTCGAGAAAATAAGATGGTGTCCGGTTCCTTTCCATCGTCTTCGATCTCGCACCGGAGTCTCGAGTTATCGGCAGAGGATTACGCAATCCTGGAACACTTCCGTTCAACGACAGAGTATCGTTTCGCAAAAAAGTTAGGCATGATTCAGGCAATCGGTCGAGAGATAGATGCCCCATTCCTCGCGTTTATCCGGTTATCAGCGATTCGAGCGAAGCGACGTGAGGAGATTCAGAAGTCACATGCGAGTGGTTTGTCGTAATTCTAATTGCTTCTTACGTGTTATGAATTTCCACGAGAATGGAACGAACGAATGTCTCTTCGTTTGCGTAAAATTCGCCGATCAATGTCGTTTTTTCATCGCTGGCACAAACGAGACGCTCTAATTTGCAACAAGGACTCGTGATCGAGGAGCACGACTTAAAATAAAGCGATCGCAACTGCAAGCGGCCACTTCTTTTTATTTACCTCGCTTCTGCTACCTAGACTTTTTTTCGCTTACATAATCGACTTGTTTAAAAAGAAGTTGGTCTGGTCCCGTGCGTATCTCGATAATTTCGGTGCCCATATGGTAGTTTCAGATAGAAGGAGAAGCCTGGTATTCACGCTTATATATATATATATATACGTATGCATCTAGACTTCCTCCGCGTCTATATTACACGCCTGTTTGTCGATTCTCTTATCAAAAATTGGAAAGCTTACCAGTTTTGTGCTGGCTGCCGAACACGTTGGATAATGAACGGCAATCGTTACGAAGACATTTTTGATTGTAATTAAGCCGCGTTATCGCGATAGAAATAAAATTACAGCTAGCCAGTGCAATCGATATTTAGGTCATGGTCACCTCTAAAAATGGATGCTCGATTAAAGGCTTCGGTTTCTTTTCCTCCCGCCTTTTCTTTCTTTCTTTTCCCTCCGAATCGCTTGCGTATGTACGCGAGAAAGCACGAAATCCTCTGTGAAATAAGACAATTAACGACCTTGGTTCTCCGTAAAGCTACACACGCAAAGATCGTTTACGCAGAATGAGATAATATAGTCAACGATTTCGCGCACATTTCAAGGTATGCGGGTCTTAAGTATTCAACGAGAAAAGCATCGATTTTATCGAACAGGATGATCGTCAGGGACACCGCGTAGTACGCTGTGGCTGGAAAGAAAAGCCTGCGAATTTTTCCCCGGCTCGATTCAGTCTGAAAGTATCACGTCCAGACTTGTCAAAAGCTGAGCGAACACAGAAGGGAACGGGGTAGAACGAGCGGATCGACGTGCACGAGAAGCATCCGTACACGAGGAAACTGAAACGAAGCGAGATAGCTAAAGAGAGGTAGTAGGCGAGAAAGAGAGCGAGGAACGAGCGTGTTGTATAGGGGGGAAACGTTGTAGGGATAGAAAGAGGAAGGGAGAGAGGAGAGTCAGACAGAGGGATTCAAGGTCGCGGGAGTCGGCTGTTTCCGTCGGAGTTCGGCGGCTAAAATTGTGTGTTGGCGCGGTTCTGCGGCCTTCGCGAACGTAGCCGCTTCTCTCACAGAAAAGTCAAGTTCAAGGCTAACCAGATATCGCGATACGCTTGCCTCTCTCTCTTTCTCCCTCTTTCTTTCTTTTTCCATTCCACGCTTCCTTCCGTCTGTGCTTTGGTAACTGCTTAATCGAACGGGTTATGGAGGGATTTGGAGAATGTGAGAAAATCGAGAATCACCGGTGAGTCCGGTCGAGTTCGATGGAGGCAAATCGAGCCAAATGGAGACGGGCTTACGCAATCTCTTTCCTCCCCGCCATTATCTTTTTTAATTTTCTTTCCTTTTTTTCTCGATCTACGTTGTTCGCTTTTTCCTCGATTTTCGTCGAATCGTTTGAAAGTCGATGGTATTGTCGCCTTCCTTTTCGTCATGGTGGTCGTCGTTATGCATGTATCGTAGTCGAGTGTTCCGTGCACCGCGTCGGTTTTTATTTCATTAATCTAAACGTGGGAGACGTGTGCGTGAAGCACTTCGCACGACTAGTCAAGTTCGAGGTTAACCAGATGCCGCGTTTTCTCTTTCTTTTTTCAATTCTTCGCTATCGATCTTCCTCTATCTTTCTGTCCTTCGGTAGCCACTCGATTAACGATTCTCGATCTTCGTCGATTTCAATTAAAACGAAATGCAACCGAGGAGACATTTTGACGAGAATTCGGCATCAATCAATGGGGATTCTAATAAAATTCATAGAGTACTCTCGATTCTAGTGACTTTTTTTGCTATTTTGCTCGGAGGTGGCTATTCACGGAATGAATAAAATGGAGCAGACTATATCGCCGTTTAAAATGGTCGCGTTGCAATGATAAGAGTCCACCCGTTGGAAGATAGATGGTGCCTGGGCAGCGCATAAATCTCCAGACGCGCGTCCCAAGCTCTCGCAAACGATCGTAACTGCATCTCGCAGAAGTCAAGTTCAAGGCTAACCAGATACTCTACGCTCCTTCCTTTTCCCCTCGACTCCCATTCTGCGTGCATTTAATATACGATACCGAGGGCAGGAGGGCGGCAGAGGAACAGACTTACGCAATCCTTTCACCGTTACTTTGTTCGCTATCGCTCTACCCACCGTTCCTTTAAGGATGCCTTCTTTGGTAGTAACTCGTCTACACGGATGGTTTTACTTTTCTCACGAGTTATCGTTTCTTCTTGGATTCTACCATTTTCAGTCTCCGTATCGAGACTAGAGGGACGTAGAGGTTAAGTAGAAGGGATAAAGACCGAACTAATCGGATTTGTAGAAAGTACGGGGTAACCGCGTAATTATAACTTTAACGCAAAGTTCAGGCTGATATTCCGAGAATATCGATGCCACGATTCGCGAATTTTCTGAAGTCAATTCTAAAAATGCTTGAGGCGTTGGTCGTGCTTAAAAATAGCAACGGAAAAAAAGTGCAGCTGACTGCAAAGCAGACTGTCTCTTCTGCTTTTCGGTATTTGCCATGGTTTGCTTGAAAGAGCAGCCATCATGCTTTACATCGTAGCTAGATGATAAACGGAAGAGTAGGATTGGCAAGAAATAGTAAATTGCTTTATTGGGTTGTTTTAGGTTTGTATGATCCCCGGTGGCGGCACCGAAAATATGATAGGAAATAATAGGACCATGGCGAATATTAAACAAGAAATCGAGAATCCTACGACGCCGACGCAAAATTATCAAGTTTGTTCACCGACCACTACGCTTCAACATCAAGAGGTATTTCGGACATGTAGTATTTACGGTGATTGTGATTCGTGAGACTAATTGAAAATGTAAAATAACTTAAAAATAATATAATTTTATGATACGTATCTTTGTAACATGATGTATGTTGACCGAGTCTATCGTATTTTCAGGTGATCTGCAGTAAAATAGAGGTGCCGCCCGATTATGGCGGGGGCGAAGGTAGTCCTGGCAGCCCGGAAATGCACCATTGTTCGTCAACTACGCAGCCTTTGGGAACACCCGAGGTATACACCCTTTGAACCGTAATCGAAACATTTACAATCTTGAGGAGACCGTTCTCCAATTCTCGAATTAGACTTATCGTACTGTTTCATTTAGGAAGGTGTTAAAGAAGAGGATATGATACCTAGAAGGCTCTGCCTAGTGTGCGGGGATGTTGCCAGTGGATTTCATTATGGAGTCGCGTCCTGCGAGGCATGTAAAGCGTTCTTTAAGAGAACGATACAAGGTAAGAAGAGTTCTTTCGCACACGCGAATGTTTCCTTCTGAAGGATTTTCCAGGTAGCACCATAGGATTTATAATTATAGCTGATTATCTCTATTAACGTTTCGGTTTTCCTGTTTCTCTGCTACCTCTTAATGTCAGGCCCCATTTTAATCAACTTTGACCACTCGAAAGCGTATGTATTCATAAGACTAACATTGGTGCTACCTGGACCAGAACCATGTATATTACAATAAAATAGCGAGTAATTTCACAGGTAACATCGAGTATACATGTCCTGCGAACGGGGAGTGTGAAATAAACAAGCGCAGGAGAAAAGCGTGCCAGGCGTGCAGGTTTCAAAAGTGCCTTAGACAAGGCATGTTGAAAGAGGGAGTACGATTGGATCGTGTCCGAGGAGGGAGACAAAAATATAGAAGATCCACCGATCCCTACACTACGACTGGGATCGTCCCTTTCGGTCGGTCCGAAGAGACACGACTGGAGTTCTTTCGTTAATAACTCGATAAATAACGTACTATAGAAAATGTACAGCTCCATACATTTCGATAGATACGATTAAATCTTTGATATTTTATTGTTTCTAGCAAACGTAGCAACAGGAGCTTCTAACGAAATAATAAGTAAGCTATCGGGCTCTTTCACTTTATTTTATTCGAGTCGGATACTTTGATTCGTTAGTAGATTTTTTTCATCCTGATACGAAAACACCTTACATCAAACGTAGATGTTCAACGTGTAAATGTTCAAACGGTAAATTTTTTTATTTATTGATAGATAATAAAATGCTGGAAACTCTGGCTGCCTGTGAACCCGACATGCTGCAAGTGTCCAATATCTCTTATACTCTTGATACAGATCAAAGAGTACTTGGACAATTATCTGACTTATATGATCGAGAGTTAGTTGGAATAATAGGTAATATATAATGTCAGTTTTTATATTAATATAAAATAGTATTTAATAACAGTATTTAAAAATTGATTTTTTCCTTAAAATTATTTTTTTTTTAAGGTTGGGCGAAGCAAATTCCTGGATTTAGTAGTTTAGCTTTAAACGATCAGATGCGACTTTTGCAAAGTACGTGGGCTGAAATATTGACGTTTAGTCTGGCGTGGAGAAGCATGCCAAATAATGGTAGATTAAGGTTTGCCCAAGATTTTACCCTTGACGAGCGACTTGCACGCGAATGTCACTGTACAGAGCTGTACACGCATGTGAGTATCACTTAATTATTTCAATGATTTCGATTCGTCACATACTTATCTCCCCTCTCTCTCTTTCTCCCTGTACATATATCTATACACACACGCACACACATATATATAAACGTCCAAATATATATATATTCGTATGTATGTATTGTTTATTTTTGGACAGTGTATCCAAATCGTCGAAAGGCTTCAAAGATTGGGTTTAACCAGAGAGGAATATTATGTGTTGAAAGCATTGATATTAGCAAACAGTGATGCGAGATCAGACGAGCCACAAACGTTACATCGTTTTCGAGATTCTATCCTAAATTCCCTATCTGATTGTGTGGCTGCAATAAGACCAGGACAAGCGCTTCGTGCCACCCAGAACATGTTCCTAGTGTTACCCAGTCTCAGGCAGGTTGATGGAATTGTTAGAAGATTTTGGTCTAGTGTTTATCGAACGGGGAAAGTACCAATGAACAAGCTCTTTGTAGAAATGTTAGAAGCTGCTTATTATCGATGAAGTATCAACTCGAACTTGATTTAACAATATCTATATTGAGGACTCTATAGAATCGCTGTTATTAAACGGGGTAGCAGCGTTATACTTATAACATGTTGAGCGTGAGTAGAGTACGCAATTTGTTGCGTCCTTTTAAAGCTATAAGCGAAAGACAGTGAGTGATAGTGAGACGTAAAAAGAGACGGAAATTGTGCAGTTTTATTCATTTTCTGTAAGAGAAAGACTCATACAAAAAGAAAAGGCTTTATTTTTCAAACGCGAAAGTGTTGGAGCGTGGAGCTTTGGCCAGTGATTCCAGCAGTCGTCGAAACTTGCGAAACACCTTAAGATAACAGTCACATTGTTTCGTCGAGATAACCAAACTTTCCTTTTCGAGTACCCCTTTTACAGGTACAGAGAAAAAAAAAAGAACGATGTTATTTCAAGATAGGATACGTAGTACAAGACGCGAGATGCTTTCTTTCGGAGCTCTCACTTTAGGATAATTTACGAAAACCTGTCGCCAGACAGAAGAACCTACCAAATAAATAAAACGTTTTCATTTACGTATTGATCGTATTACGTAAGATCGTGACACCGAACCGGTGATATCGTAGAAATCAAATGCAAATGTACTAACTGTGGGTGTTTGACGTTATAGAATTAGCATCGTGTTACCAAATACTACCAGTTCAATCAAAATTACACGTAGCTCCGATTCGAATGTTATTTTAGTTATGTCTTTTCTCTGAAAAATATCCAGTCAATTTGAAGCTAGAAGAACGTGAACTCTATATTTTTAACAAAAAAAAGAGCGTCGATAAAAAGTATGTGGTTTTATATAGAGTAACTGCACATTTTAATACTACTAAGTGTAAAGATCGATAAATGTAAATCGATGTGTGTACTGCATTGAACATCCATAGTTATAGTTCAGCGAATGAATTTAGTATGTGCTGTTGTACAAATTGAACCAATTACGCGAACAGAGCTGTGAACAGTGAACAAGGAAAAGCGAAAGAATGGCTGGATCGTTCTCTAATTAGCGCCATGCTGTTTTTTACGAGGTACTGTGAAAAAAATGTTTCGAGAACGAACCTTTGGCCAGGTTGCCAGGTTCTTAGGAAGAGCAGAAAAAAAAATTTAATCGATTGTTGAAATGATTGCGAAGTGTTATTCGCACGTGCCACACAGAGAGCGTAGGAGAATATATATTATATTATATTATTATATTATATTATATTGTATGTATTCAGGGATCTTTATTATCTAGTTATTATTGTTACGAGATCTTTGCACGGATCTTGCGCATAATATCGCTTTCTCCAAAGCGAGGAATCGTAATATCGTATAGGAGCTACTACTCACACACAAAAAGGTTCATTTTTAAAAAGAGGAAAAACCGTTTATTACAAATTAATGGAGTTTTTTCTTTCTCTGTTACACGCAACAAAGCGCAAGGTTTCTATCGATTAACGAATCAGCTTTTTGTTATTTCATGATTACGGAATATTAACGAGAGAAAGAAATTGTTTAATGGAAAGTTATAAAAAAATATTAAAATAAACGTTAAGCGGTTCAAATCGCTGGGAACCTTGCGATCTTGACATGCGGTGTAATCATGGGACGTTCAGAGTGCAATAATATTAGGACATGCGATTGCATTTCTTTCTCGGTCAATTCAATCGCGACGTCCGTTTCAGTTTCCTTTATTTCCGTATTTCATCGATCTTTTAACGTTTGAAACTTTGTTTAAACCGCCTGCATTTAAATACACGATGCAAATAGTTGACAGTAACGCTTACACATTGCGTGTCCTTTCTCCATTAGTTTTTCTCGATTACCTACGACGGTTCGTTCCTCACTGTGAAACAGACAACGCAACGAATGCGATGGGGAAAAAAGAAAGAAGAAAGTCGCTGTTAAGCCACGGCGAATTTTTGTTCCGCGTTTCTCTTTGCCCATTTTTTTTTTTTTTATTTAATTTTCTTTCTTTTTTTCGATAATGTGTTTTCGTTTTCTCTCTCTTTCTTTCTTTCGTTCTTTTTTTTTTATCTGCGAATTACAGTAAAAGAATCACGTTGTTTACTACACTGCCTTTCAGGTCATAAAGTTTGGAAGAGAATCAAATGTTGATCGTTTATTGGTAAATGATGTTAAATACTGTTCTTACATGTATCGGAAATGATTTTTCGAAATGTTTGACTCTGTTTATTATGCGACTATTTTTTAGGGTATCAATATCTAACGTTTTGATGGCGCTTATCACACGTTGATAGTATCAGCCGTTGTTCGAATCAAAGAAAATTGTTTTAATATCGATGTTTAGTTTCAGACGATGATACTATCTGTACCGTCCAACCTAGGAGGTATTAAAATTATGTATTAATAGTGACCAATCAGGCCTGGTAGTTTAAAAATATTTTAATTTTATTCCTGTTAAATATGTTAACATCTTTTTTTTCCAGTCACCACGATCAATGAAATTTTGTATGGAACCGATGTACGTGTTATTTGAGTACCTCAAATTTACCTTTACGTTTTAATAGACGCATACTCGTTTCTTTTCTTTCGCTTTTCTTTCTTTTTTTTTTTTTTTTTTATTAATCGATTGTTGAAATGATTGCGAAGTGTTATTCGCACGTGCCACACAGAGAGCGTAGGAGAATATATATTATATTATATTATTATATTATATTATATTGTATGTATTCAGGGATCTTTATTATCTAGTTATTATTGTTACGAGATCTTTGCACGGATCTTGCGCATAATATCGCTTTCTCCAAAGCGAGGAATCGTAATATCGTATAGGAGCTACTACTCACACACAAAAAGGTTCATTTTTAAAAAGAGGAAAAACCGTTTATTACAAATTAATGGAGTTTTTTCTTTCTCTGTTACACGCAACAAAGCGCAAGGTTTCTATCGATTAACGAATCAGCTTTTTGTTATTTCATGATTACGGAATATTAACGAGAGAAAGAAATTGTTTAATGGAAAGTTATAAAAAAATATTAAAATAAACGTTAAGCGGTTCAAATCGCTGGGAACCTTGCGATCTTGACATGCGGTGTAATCATGGGACGTTCAGAGTGCAATAATATTAGGACATGCGATTGCATTTCTTTCTCGGTCAATTCAATCGCGACGTCCGTTTCAGTTTCCTTTATTTCCGTATTTCATCGATCTTTTAACGTTTGAAACTTTGTTTAAACCGCCTGCATTTAAATACACGATGCAAATAGTTGACAGTAACGCTTACACATTGCGTGTCCTTTCTCCATTAGTTTTTCTCGATTACCTACGACGGTTCGTTCCTCACTGTGAAACAGACAACGCAACGAATGCGATGGGGAAAAAAGAAAGAAGAAAGTCGCTGTTAAGCCACGGCGAATTTTTGTTCCGCGTTTCTCTTTGCCCATTTTTTTTTTTTTTATTTAATTTTCTTTCTTTTTTTCGATAATGTGTTTTCGTTTTCTCTCTCTTTCTTTCTTTCGTTCTTTTTTTTTTATCTGCGAATTACAGTAAAAGAATCACGTTGTTTACTACACTGCCTTTCAGGTCATAAAGTTTGGAAGAGAATCAAATGTTGATCGTTTATTGGTAAATGATGTTAAATACTGTTCTTACATGTATCGGAAATGATTTTTCGAAATGTTTGACTCTGTTTATTATGCGACTATTTTTTAGGGTATCAATATCTAACGTTTTGATGGCGCTTATCACACGTTGATAGTATCAGCCGTTGTTCGAATCAAAGAAAATTGTTTTAATATCGATGTTTAGTTTCAGACGATGATACTATCTGTACCGTCCAACCTAGGAGGTATTAAAATTATGTATTAATAGTGACCAATCAGGCCTGGTAGTTTAAAAATATTTTAATTTTATTCCTGTTAAATATGTTAACATCTTTTTTTTCCAGTCACCACGATCAATGAAATTTTGTATGGAACCGATGTACGTGTTATTTGAGTACCTCAAATTTACCTTTACGTTTTAATAGACGCATACTCGTTTCTTTTCTTTCGCTTTTCTTTCTTTTTTTTTTTTTTTTTTCTTCCAGAACTCGAGTAAAACGTAGAATTTTCACGTGCCATCAATTCGTGGTCCATTTTTTTCTTTTTCCTACTAATTATACACTTTCCTTTTTTTTTTTTCTTTTTAAGGCGTCACGTTTTTTTGCGAGGCAAACAAGTTTTCGAGCGAATGAATTTTGGAGAGGCCTAAAAGTATCTCGACAGATACGTTTAGTTTTTTAGTTTTCAAGATTCTACCGCATCTGACATCGCAATGAAATTGTAGAACGCGATCCATCGCGACGAAGCGACAGGTTGATATTCGATTAACGATACCAGCTACTAATCTTCATCCTCTGGTTTCGCGATCAAGGAAAGGGGTTCAAAGGTATTTTCAGGAATTAGTAAACGTGTCGGTTGGGTGTTGAATTTTCAAAGCATTTTCTTTATAAGATGTTCATCGATTCGCCGTGGCGGTAGAATCGTAGTCTCAGGGTTTCAACCAACAACCAACAAACAAATGATACAAATTTAGACACATATAAATAATTAAGCGCGCGAGTATATTTGTGGAGCAAAATATTATAATAGTAACTATAGTAATAATAACGAGGATGATGATGATGATGATAACGATAACGATGATGATAACGATAATAATAACGATAAAGAATATTAACATTAGTATTAATGATGATAATGATGATAATAAAGATGACAAGAAACACTATACACGGTGACTTCTTGCACAGTGAACGAAAATTTGCGTATTCGCTTTGCGTACTGGTGCATGCACCGCGAAAGGGAAATAATTCTAACGTCACTTTTTTTCTTAATGGACCTCTTTTCTGCGCTAGGGAGAGAATTTGTACATATATAATTTATCCGCATCGCGAGAATTTACACGAAGAAATTCAACTATGTCCTGTATTTTTCTTGCACCGCATGGTCGCTCAACTCGAAAACGCTTCCGCTTCTCTCGCGAAACGTGCGTGCGCCAAGGAAGATGACAAATGGATCGTGGACTTGAAATGTTTCATATATCATAGCGTACAGTGTTTACAGTGTAGGTTTGTTTCTTCTTCGAAAGTACAATATAAAGTGGTTCTTCGAAAATCCTTCTTTCCTCGTTCGCTCGTCGGACGGATTTGCCAGACCAGTCGTAAATTGTACCTGCTGCGAAGAAACGCTGCTTCTGCGACCTCTACGAATATGTGTACAGATACCTGTAATTATAATTTTTATATAAGAAAAGAACGTATGCGTGAGCATTAGACAGTAAAAACGATCGAAAATAAAATAGAAATTCAGCTCGATTTTTGTTCTTGAAATCTTCAATGTAACGGGTCTTCCCGTTCGAACCGCCAACGAAATTCGCAAACATTCGCATATTCGCCAAACGTGCCGATCCCGACGAAATAGAATATACTTGTCCTCAGTTGGCGCAGCGATCATGTCACGAGAGGTGGTTCCGCGCGTGTTCCGTTTATTAATCTTCTTCCTCGTTACGTTTTCCAGTAAGTCTTATTTTTCTTTAACATAAGCCACATGGCTGCTAGCATAAGACACCGATTGGATTGCGAAAATTAAAACACGACATTGCCCGTAGGAGCAAGTTCGCACGTGCTGTCGGACGAGTGTTTGGAATTCGACATCGCCGAGCTGGAGGATTATTTGTCAAAGTACAATTTGGAAAATGTACCGACGATCGATATGATGATCGGCGGGTTCAAATGTCCGGTCACAGCTTTGCCCTTTGGCGCTTTGAAATCGGACTGGGCAAGGCTGCTGCTTCTGCAAAGAGCGCAACCAAAGGAATCAATTTTCCTAGAGAAACTGGGTCGTCTTTTCAGAATTTTAGCGATTGCTTATTTCCGAATGGAAGAACGTTTCGATTTTACCAAACCTGGATCTCCCAGTGCAGGCAGGTTGGTAAGGAAAAGCGTAATTTTATATGACAAAATCTTTCCCGCTTGTTTGTCCCTTTTACTTCACTTCGTTCGAATATTTCGATAGCGTAATTACATCGTCTACGCACAAAAGCACTACCAACGATTCACGGAACGAAACAAAGAAACTCGATATCTCGACAACCGATTCAAGGGAAACTGATGAAGCTCCGGCCAGTTTTGCTACGAGTACCTTCGTTTTTAATAGCGAAGAATCCACTGGCGCTGTCAAAATTGAACGAACCACTTTTACCAGCTCGAATGTAACGATGGGAGAGAAGCAGCACGATTTTGATACGATACTCGATATTTCTTCCACCACCGTCGCATTTTCACCTGTTGATAACTGGACAGTGCTTCACCCGAGCAAAGAAGTCGATGAAAGGAAAACGGTGACGGCTTTCACAAATATTACGACTTTCTCAGACATAATCACCGGGAAAGCAAAATACACGGTGATATCTACCTCGAGAACGAATGAACCGACTGAAACGACCGAAGCCATTATTTTTAACAGCAGTCCAGACGATTTTATTCCTATTTCCACAAAAGCCGAATCGAGCGAAGATAAAGATGATTCCGTTGTCGTTAAGAGCATCGAATTACAGCCAATGTTAACGAGTCCAGTTTCAACTAGTACCATTCCACTCGTCACAGCTTTTGCTGTTACCGATAATTCAAGAACAACGACAGATCGCGAAAAGTCAGCGGATAAAAATGACCCAGAGAGAGGGACGAGGAAGTCGATTAGCTCGAGCAAGTTCAACGGCAGAGGTGATTTTCCTGTATCGAATAATCAAGACGATTCAGATTTTAACTCGATCGAATCTGAAGATATAAATAGCCTAGGGATTTTCCACGTGAAGACTAGCACCGAAGGAAGTCGCGTTTATTCGGATAAAATCTCTGCCAACGGGGTGGTTAGCTCTGCCGAAAGTTTTAATGAAAGTCGCCCGAATCATCGGACAGACGCTGTTTCCCGAGTGCTCGAAAAGGTTCCAGGGAATTCCTCGAATTCTACGGGCCCTCGAAATGAGTCGAAGACACCTTCGATCCCCGGAAGACCCCCGTTGGACGATGACTTTTGGAAATACATCGTAGCTTCGCGGAAAGTTACCTCGACTACTGCTAGGGCGAGACCTAGGCTAGCATCGAAGACAGTGTCTGACAGATCTAAAGAGAATTCGATTAAACCGAGGAAACGCGGGAGCTTGAACACCAACGTGGAGAAGAATTTTCGATGGTTCTACAATTTCGGGTTCCAGAATGAGGAACGGTCCAGGTATACACTTTTCTAAACGTATCGTCTTCCTGGGACTTTCCATTAATTTCGTATCTTCGTTAATAATAACTTGTGATTAATAACTATATTATAACTATAACTATAACTAACTATATTATGTTAATAACTTACAGCGACAAGCTGGTTGATCGACCAGGTGCCTATATCGAGTGCAATGGGAAGAGACAGAACGGAGAATAAGCCTATCGAAGGATCACGTGGATTTTTCCCAGAGAAACAAAAGCTCTTTGTACCTAAACGAAAAAGGAGTAAAGAAAAGGGAAGCTTTGTACCCAAACGCAAGTGATCGGATGGAATCATGGATAATAAAACTGTTTGAATTTCATCTCGTTGGATCTTGCTTCTTGGTCTGTCTCGTTATATCCTGCTGGTGTGGGGGATGCGACAACTGGACACTTGCCGATTCTTATCAGCGATATCGCGGGTCAGTCCATAAATTCATGAGCCGGGGCAACGCTGACTGATATTTACGAGGTCCGCAGCTGGTAACGTTCGTCATGCTTTACGAGCTGTCGTAAACGAATCCTCTTATTATTCGATTCCGTCTGTAGGATTGGCTGTGCGAATCGTCTGCAAGCAGTTCGATCGTGCGATTCGCGCGATGCAATTTACGCGGGGAACGATAGGTCGAACGGGAAGGGGCATCGTGTTTCGGATATGATTACGATCCAGTTGAAATTACACGCGAAATCGCGGGAAAAAAGAGATACGGGATCAGTGTTGCGCTGTTTAAAATGCCCCGGTTATACGCTGCAGAGGGAATGAAAACGGTTGCGATGAGTTCATAATTGGCTTTACGCAAACTATCGTGATTCGATGGTTTAATAACGGTTTTTCGAGATAGCACGGCCGATCAGTTTAATTTGCAACGATAGCATATCAGCGGGTTGTGGCTAATAACCAGTCGAAGGTACGCGAACAAATAGGTGTGTTCAATCAGCGCGCCGCGCCATTCCGAATTATTCCGTGCCGATATTTTTGTTAAAATTATCCATCCATTCGTTCCGTGCAATTACGCGGCGAATTACGCTCCGCGATAGTGTGTATAAACAAAATGAAACATACGGCAGATCACCGAGTTTGGTCATTTTCTCGCTCGTATAGTTTATATCGTACTGGATAAAACGCGATTAAATACGCTCGAGATGCAGATTCGTTTAGATCAGGTTCGAAATTACCGGTGGATAAGAAAATGAAGGGATGTAGTGGGTATTAAAGAATGATGACACTATTTCCTGTTACTACGAGCTTTATTACAGAGGACGCGGTGTCGGGCCCTTTTTCTCAGGGCCTAGACCAAACGTTCCAGGTGGTCCACGTGTCCGCGTGTCATAGGGGCCTTTTCGTAAAGACATGAACCAGGTCCCCATTGATTCTGGACCCACGATGTCTCTAGGAATGGAAACAATATATTGGCTTTATTTTTTCGCATCGACAGATGTGTTCCTACAAAAATATCGAAAAATTGATCGTACCTGTATGTGGGATTGGAATAAGTACGGCCCTGAAAGAATGTCAAGTGTGTTTGGGCTTAGAATGAAAGTGACGCAAGAGGATTGACTGAAAAGAATGTTTATGGTAGAGTCGAGTGAAAGTTTAGGGATGCGTCCAGAATGGTTGAAGTACCTGGCCCATCGAGGTTGCGTGGGAAAGGGGCATGATTGGAAAGGAAAGCCTGGGTATAGAAAAGGACAGAATGAATATTTTAAATAAGGGTACAAGGACGCGGACAGCCCCAGTCTCCAGTCGTCAGTCATGAACAGTCTCCAAGAGTTCTTAAGCTAGTGTCTAAGAGTATGATGTCGGTGAGAAGTCAAAGTCGAACGTGCCCATAGCGAATCCCTCTTGTTTCATAGCAGTCAATCTACGTATAAGCTTATTGTATTTTATTAAGAAGTAAAGCAACACTATTTTAGCCTATCAAAAGAGTTCTTAAGCTAGTGTCTAAGAGTATAATGTCGGTGAGAAGTCAAAGTCGAACGTGCCCATAGCGAATCCCTCTTGTTTCATAGCCGTCAATCTACGTATAAGCTTATTGTATTTTATTAAGAAGTAAAGCAACACTATTTTAGCCTATCCACCCAAACCGATCCCTACATGTATTATAATAATCGTCAAGTGAAGTGACTGAAACAATATCTTTGTATCGAATGTTCAATGCAAAGTTTCAAAAATGGGAACTTAAGTTACGGTAAATTCAGCGTTAATTGATAGGCTCGAATTGTAACGAATTTCATGTACAAGATGATTAATCATCCTCGATTTTCACGTAAGGATATTCTACGTATTTTTCATACCCTTTGTGTCGCATCTCGTATCTCTTTGTTATTTGTATTTTGTTGCTTCGATTGCTGCTACTCCCCGTGTCCTTTCTCTGTTTTCTTTTCCCCCTTGCTGGAATCCCTTTTCCTACTGTTGCAACCCCGAGTGTATGTCTTCGCGATGCTTTCCTTATCCTTGGAATTCGATAGGAATTCGTCGTTTCGCTTCCTTTTCGTACCCTTTTTTATCCTCGGAATTCCCTGTTCGCCATGAAGCCTGCGCTTTTTCACTGACAAAATTCCCGCCAAAATTCCCCATATAACACGTTCACCTTTAAAAGGATACAAAGCGAATAATTCGAGAGTCCAGATTCCTTCGACTCGTTCTCGAATGAGATATCTCAACTTTGACTCCGAGTTCATTCCTCGCTGATGGTTTCCTCGTGCTCTGTTATCGTTTCTCCAGCTCCTATCGCTTTCTTGGTCCCCTTGCAATTTTAATTCGCAATGAGCTGCTTCGTTACTGGAAACTTGGTTAAACTAAACGGATCGATAGTTAAAAGAAAAAAGGGAACGTTGAAATAATTAACTTTTATGCTATTTCCATGAATATCTCGCTCACTCGACTCGACCTTTTGACTTATTGGTCTTCTTCTAAAGATGTCTTCAGTTTCATTGACAACGAGAAATATCGCTGTACCAACTAAACTTTTCTATTAATATTATATATTAATAGAATTTATTGGAAGATATTCGATTCCGAGTTCGCGTTCGTCTCACGCGGAACTTGCAGTTGCCAATTTCGGTACAACTCCGCTGTTACAAGAGCGTATTATTCTTGGTCGTCGACTAGCTCGTATTCATTTCCTTTGTTTTTAATTGGAGAGCATAGTTGCGCTGCTCGAGTGTCATCGAACCACGTTCATGCCTTCTTCTTCAACCTCGGATGTCTTCTTCAGAGGACTCGGCGACAGAGCGAGTTGCGATTTATCAGAGACAATGATTTCACTCGCGGGGAGAAGGACGAACGTCTCTCCGTCGAAGGAAACGGATTACCTCGCGTTGGTCGAGACGCTGGTCGTACAGAGAGCTCTTAGTTTTGCCTTGCACCTGCTTTCACCCATTTCTCACGCCCGCGCTGACAAGCAGTCGCGCCACGACATCAGCAACGCGTTTCGTTAGTAATCGCGTTAACAGTCGCGAAGCAATCCGCTCGAAAATTCGACGATTCCGAGAGACTGCGGGATATTGTACGCCGGTGTGGATCGATCGACACGCTTCATAAGCCGTGGAGTTTGCTTGGTTTTTCTCGAGGGTAGGGCGAATTAAGCCGGGGAAATGGTTCACGGAAGAGGGGCAGGTTGGGCCTGGAGATTGACAAATAACGGCGATCAATCGCGAGCAAATGTTGAACGCCGTCGAAACAAATTTCCTCGTTACTTATCATTTCTTCGCTATTACTCGCCGGTCGGATTAGCCGTACATTGTTCTTCGGGAGGGAAACAAATTAGCCGCTTCACGGGAACGCGACTTGTAGAGGCACCCTGGCCGTGTTCGTTGCACCGTCTTCGTGTCTAGAATACGGGAATACCGCTACGTGCGCTTGCTGAAACCGTTCATCAGGATTACTTTAGCTCCTCGAGCAGCTTCGGGAGCAGCTTCGGGAATAGTAGCTGCGATAGACTAGCATCTAGCGCAGCGTCTAGCAGCTTCTACCGCCGGCAGAAAGTTCAGAGAAATCATTTAACTGGGAAAAGCGCAAGGGTGAAGAGACGCTCGGTAATTATTTTACCGACGAAAGCGAAGGGTCCAGGGAATGCAACTTGCCCCCTTCGTCTTTTCACCCTGCCTCCGTTTCCACCGGCACCATGCTAATTCATACTAATTGGTTGCATTACTCCCGTTTCATTCACCTGTCGTGCTTGTTTTCTTCCCTTCCGTACCGCCCATCTTTGTCTCCGTCTCGCGTTCCTCCTGCTAATCGATCGCCAATTAATTTCGAATATCTGCCGCAATATTAACCGTAATTCTCTCGACGCAGCCCGTCGGATATTTTCCCATCGGCACGGTCTTCCCGGATCCGTCTCGTTCCCCCTTCGCGAACGGGGTCGGCTTCGATCGCGCGATATCAGAGCGCGCAGCGATTACACGATTACGCAATTACGTAATTCGTCCCATTGCGATTCCACTCGCGAGACGTCTAATAACGCTGGAATTAAGCTCCGTTCGATTCCCATTCGTTAGGTCTGCGGGGCGAACGAAACTGGCCCGCGACATAGTCTCGCTGGCAGAGTAATAACACCGCGCTGGCAGCCCACTCGACGCTTGCAGAAACAGCGAGGAAGCTTGAATTACGACGAAATAAAATAACCGCGAGTCCTATGTCGAAACACGCGGAGAGGATAGGGATGTTATAAATAGGAGGCTGCTCTTTGTCCGCGGCAACATGCTCGGCAACGATAAAAATCTCTCGCGAGGGCAAAGGATCTCGCGAACCGCGCGTACGAGCCACTTTTATGGCATTCGGCCAGTTCCACGTTCGCTCGCGTTTCTCTTCCTCGGGACTTTGCCCTCGTTACCTATTTTCCCGACGTTTCCTTGGGAAGCAGTTCACCGTCCGAATCTATTTGTCGAGAAAGACGAGGGGGGATCGGGAAGAAATCGCGAACGGGAAGCTCGGATGAACTGGAAGGATGGTCAGCTGGATCTAGGATCGAGGAACGACTCGCGAATTGTAGGAATACGTAGGAATACGTGGAAGAAAGAAAGGGAATGCGTGAGAAAGCGTCGGATCGTCGAACACCCTTTGCGAGGATGTAATCATCTTTGCTCAGTGTCGTCCGCGGAAATCCATTCTCGTCACGTCGAGACAAACGGGCGCAGTTGACTCTCCATCTAAATCTCCTTCCTTTCGTCCCAGGGTCTCCTTCTTCCTTTACTCGCACGGATAAGAAATGAAATTAAAATTCTCCAGCAGACTGAGAAACGTCACGTTCCACGTCGACCGTCT